CATCAGTTTTCCTAGATATAAGACCTTGAAGAGCCTGCTGAATATCTGAGATAAAAGCATCCAAGTGAAGCAGTCCTTAAGTACATTAGATTTATAGAAGAACAATAGATTTACACCAAACTCTGTAATGTTACTGGCATCGAAGTATAAAAAGAGCTGCTCTCTGGAGACAAAAGATTAAATGTGTGGCCTGATTCTTACCATCTGTAAGATGTCCAAAAACATCTTCTAAAAGCTTCTCCAAAATTTTGAATGCAGTTAAGAAACACGCCCCCTCACCCTCAATAACCACATTTTCTGTATAGAAGTAAGACTAGCGTGAGATGCACCCAGAAAACTGCGGGGGAACGTGAACACTAAGGCACTGCAAATAACACGAGTAGCCTAAAGGGCAGCATTACGTCTCCCTGTATTTCATTGCCTATGCAGAGATGCCAAGAGCAAAGTAAAACTAATGGTGATTGCTGCCTGTCCTGACATACACCACCCACCCCCACCACCGCCCCCGCCACTATGGTACCTGTAGCAAAACCCCTAATTTAAAGAGCCTTAGTAGTAGACAGATCATCTGCTATTCAGCAGGGAGGCACACAGCCAGCTCTTTTTTATTTATTTATATTTTTTTTAGGTATCTTCTGCAAGCCTGTCGTTTGTATCTCGGGGCATCTTTTGTAGAGCTTAAATAATACGGCAGACGTTCGGTTCCTCTGGCATGGGAAGGGGGCAGTGGTATTCAGCCACTTCAGTTTGGTACAGGTGTACAATAGGGTTTATAATTCCGTCTTCAGATTTTTAGCATTTAAAATGCCAGAGTTGATAGGTGTCCCCTCCCCAGAGCTCATGTCAAACTATGAGGCTAACAAGCCACATACTGGTTTGTAATTGCAAACCATCTCATCAAAATTAGAGACCCATGAAGTTTATTTTATTATTTGTTTATAGTAGATATATAGATTATAGTTTAAGAAATAAAAATGCAGTTTTCTTGATCACGGTGGTGTGGTGAAGGAGCTGTGGACTGGTCCACAGCCACAGCCTTTTTGTGAAAGGAGCTACAACTAACCGTTACGTTTCCCAGGAGCGGAAAGGCAAGTTATAATGGTCTCCTAAAAGGATTCCACTTCATTATCCGTATTTCACAGTATAAACTAGAGTCACAATAAAAACTAGATGAAGTTTTGGACAACCTTTATCCTGCCTGGATGCTGCTACCGATTTCTTCTAGAAGCTTATTCCCTTCCATGTGAACAGATTTTTATTTTTTTTTCCTCCCCACTCCTGGAGCAGCAGTCACTAGACCTGCCACTGACAGCCCAGCCCAGCTTGCTGCCCAGCCTGCCATCCTCCTAGTGTGGCTCTAACTCCAGGCAACTTTAAAAAAGTGGAAAGGAAGGATTACAGCCAACTTCAGGGAAAAAAAACCCTGCCCCTTAGCCCATACACCTGCCACAGAACCAAAACTATCTTCTCTTTTACCCCCTCTGGCACACAGCAGCTTCATAGTGGTGTTAATACACAACCAGTGCTAGAAAAGTGAGTGTGTATGATGCCACCAGTATTGACCATTGAGGAGGGTGTGTGTACGTGTGAACATTATTCAAAGCTCTTAAGAAGCTGTGAGGATCATGGTGATGTCAGCTGTTCCAGAAAACAACAGATAATTAAAATTTTGTGTGTCTACGTGTGTCTGTGTATAATTAACCCTCTGGTTAGCATGAAAGAAGACAGGTCATGGGAAACTTTGGTCTTTCTCTCCTCAGTCCTTCTAACCAAGTAATATATATTGGGACGCTGAGTATTCAGCAGTTTGAAATCTGGACAGGATGTCAGTTCATTTGCCAGCGAGTTAATGCTACAACACTAGTCGGCCTCCCTAGGAAAAGGGATATGCTGGGACTGACGAGGTATTGGGGTGTAATGACAAGGCCTCTGAGCAGAACACCTTACTGATAGCCTGGAGGTTTATAAAATGTTTGGTTTAAAAGCAGCATTGGAAATACGCTTTAGGCTTGGAGGTCACCACATGCTTTGAATTTCATGTCAAATTGTATCACAAAAACTATGTTGTACCGCTTAACCTAGCAGAGTGCCTCGGCAGCCTGCTGCCCTAAAGTTCAGTTTATAAATCACAGGCCCAAATTCCTTGCTGCAGCAAGGAATGAACTTTAGAGGCCTTTACTTCTAGAGGGAAATTTTACACTTTTTCTTGGAATGTAGAGATAATTTTAGTTTGCTATCACAAGTATGTGTGCGTTCAACCAGGCCTCTAAGTATTTTAACCTGGGGGAGGGGGTTAAAATTAGTAAGGGGTTTTTGGCACTTCTGGAGAGAAGCAGTAGACGTGATGTTAACTGGAAGGTTTTTCTGCCAGTTCAGAGGCATTTCCATATTGCAACTAAATCCAGCCCACTGGCTGCATTTTTATTATTGCCTTACTTGCATTTGTGTGTGTGTGTATCAAATGTGCACAATCAACTTGAAGACAGACAGTAACACTCCTCACCTGATCTTCATTTGACCTGGCAAAGGGGAGAAGACCTTGAACCTTTCCTAATGACTCAGTTTGCAAATCTGCATGTTGCGAAAGACTGCGCAGTGAGGCTGCATGACAAAGTGCGAGATCATTCTCCTACTAAAACCGATGGCCCTTTTAGAGAACTGACTTCATTGCTTTTACAGAAGACAAGTGTTTCAACAAAGAGGATGTTTAAAGTTGAAATGTAGTCTCTCCAGTTACATGGAGTAATTCTACTATTTTTACATTCAAACCATAGTGGGCTTTCCTAGTGTTGACATATATGCAAGTGACAAATATTGCTGAACAATGTGCTTGGAGCATGGGAGTGTGTGCACGCGCACGCACACACATACTTTCTAGAAAGTAGACTGTCTTGTCCTAAAAGCGATATTATTCTCATCCTGGCACACTGATGTAAATTCGGCTTTTAACACTCCTCTTCCCTGTTGCGGGAGGACGTCATAAGGCAGCAGGCGGCCCAGGTAGAATTTATTTATCTAAATAATACTTACAACAAAAAGTACTTTAAATAAATAGTAAGTATTAAATACCAAATAATATTTAAATAATAAATATGTAAAATAGGGCTTTCTTGAAGGTATTCAGACTGGAGATTCCTTTCCAAATTGAAATTGTCAGCCTTGTAATTAATTAGGAGTGTGGTGTCATATCTCAAGAGAAGAAGCTACTCATTTAGGTCACTGAGGTGATTTATGCCCAATATTTGTCCCTAGCCGTTCTTTGGTGCACTATGACCACAGCAAAGGTCCCTGAAGTTACCCTGAATAATAATAATACCTGAAGGCAGCCTTTATTTCAAGCAAATAAATCCAAAAGAAATCTAATGGTACAAAAAGCAGTATGCTCAAAATGAAATATGCCATCACTCAGCTGTTAACCAACCCTGTCAAAAAGAAGTTTCCCATATGACCAAAAAAAATAATCATAAACATTTCACCTAAAGTGGTATAATTTTTTTCCTGTTTGACTGCACTGGATGTGTGGTGATACCTTCTGAAGTGCCTGGGGTGGCATACAATGCCTAACACTACCCACAGCTGTAGCAAACGTACACAGAGCAATTCTCTGCTCTTGGATTTTAAGACCACAAGTCGTGGAAGGACACCTTCCCCTCCTCACCCCCCCCCCAGCCACTAGGTCCTTCCCTTTTGTGTGTTTGTTGTCCCTATTACTTCTGAAAGGATGAGCCCGAGCCTTATCAGTCTGTGTTTTGAGAGAACACGAGAAATGAAGAAAAAAAAATCACGCTTTTTCTCATTTCCAAGGGCTGAAGTAATACTGATGGCCAATTACAGGCATCACTTCTTTTGCCAGTGTTGGCCTCCTGTCAAATACTTGCGCTTGTTCTTGCCTTTGTCAAGCCACAGCCTCTAAGATCATAGCTCTCCCCATCAGAGTAGTAACTCTGTTCTGCAAACAGTCTGCTTGAAATCTCTTTCTGGAGCACATCATTGGACCACATTGGTGCCTACAGTTTGAGATTAAGATTCACTGGGGAGGGTTAACACAGAATAAAATTCCTCTACTCAACACAGATCATAGGATCATTTTTGCCATTTGCACAGTGCAACTAGCCTCTAGCTAGGCTGCCGAAGTCCTTGGGGCTGAGGAGGTGACTAAGCCAGTGAAGCGTCCCCAGCGCTCTCTGCTTTCAGCCCACAGACACTGTGCAGCCCACAGGCCTCCAAGGTATGAAGGGAGCAGTGCAATCAGTGAGTTTGCTGTCATTTTTGTTCCAGTTAGTTAGCAGATTTTCAGTTAGTTCCTAGTTCCTAGTTCCATGTGTATTGATGGAAAAATGCCTTTGCTTCAATGCTTGTATGCCTACGTAGTATGCTGAAGATGGGAGTAGGCGATAGGGATTAGTTTGTTACACAGTCTGCCTTTGGTTGGCACTCCTTAAGCAGTTTGAGAGGCCACACGGTCACTGCAATTTCTGTGTGCTATCCCACTCTTAATTACCCTTAAAAACCTTAGCCACTGAGACTAGGTTCAGCAGCTCTGACAAAGCCAGCTACTTCACGGTATCCAGCGTTGCTCAGAAGCAGGTGTGGGAGCCTGGAATGCGACAGGAGCAGCTGGAGACTTTGCCTAGTGCTGATGATACAAAGGAAGTAACAGGTCACATTTCCATAGCTCTTCTTCAAGTTGGTTTCATTACCCATCAGTAGTAATTGCAATGAGACGCGCAGACAAGTATCACGAATTCACATTTAAAAAAAAAACCCAACAAACATTATCTACCTAAGCATTTATATTCCACCAGCACAAATTTCTGTGTATCACTTTAAGTCTGAGCAGTGGAACATGAATACAATGATCAAACACACCAAGGAGAAAACAAAGAAATAAGGGTTTGGTATGGTAGTCTGTCTGTCTTTTTAACCGTTTTTATTCCTGAGCATATTGTGATTAAAAGCAGACCAGCTTCCTAGGCTAATGTTTCTGTTTCTTACTACAGTTGGATAGCGTCACTTCACTAATTCAGGCTGCCAAAAATTTAATGAATGCTGTGGTGCAGACAGTGAAGATGTCCTATATTGCATCCACAAAGATTATCAAGATTCAGAGTCCTACTGGCCCACGACATCCTGTTGTGATGTGGAGAATGAAGGCTCCAGAGAAGAAGCCCCTAATTAAAAGAGAGAAGCCAGAAGAAATCTATGCAGCTGTCAGAAAAGGTTCTGCAAAGAAGAGAATCCATCCTGTTCAAGTCATGAGTGAATTTAGAGGCAGAGAAATAGTCTAATATTCTGCCACTTTTTGTGTTCCTATCTTGAATTTCTGATTATTTTCATCTTTTTTTTCCCCTACTTATTTAATATGTTAATGTTTTGCTTTTCTCTAAATCTGTAAGATAACACTTGCTTGAATTATTTGAAAATGCTGTTGGATTAATTAGAAGCACACAGTTGAAAAAAATACCTGTTCTCTTGCACTGACAAACTATCATGTCTTTATACTGGCATGTTTTCAGCAGAGCACTTTGAGTGTAGTTGGAAAGGAGGATGCAATGATGTGCCAACCTGCCCAAAGTCCCGCTGCATTCACTAGGCTTAGGCATTCCTTCACCAGCGATGAATGTGGCCAATAGTAAACTGCATGTATCTTACGACATACAGCTCTTCAAACATTATGCTGTTGGGCCAGATCCTTTATCAGCATCATTACACCGTGATCAAATCAGCTGGACTGCTTGATGGTAGCTGAGAGCCTGGGCCCTTAACTTGTATCTCGATTGAAAGATCTAAAGATCTCCGCTCGTCCAAGGCCCAGCCTTGGAAATGTAAGTTTGAAAATGTTTGATGAAACACAGAAAGTGTTCTAACAACATAGATGTAATAATGCAATAAAAAAAGCATTGACTGCAACACAGCAGTAATAATAGCTTTTCAAAAGGCCTTTTGAAACATTAACATTAATCTATGTTCTGCTTCCTACTCTATTCTGTGAGCTGTAATAAATCTGCTGACTCTTACATTTGGAAGTTCAGATAAATCAGATATTAACAATAAAAAACTTTTCTAATCACTGCACAAAAGAACAAATATGAAATAAATCATTATTCTGAGATCAGTGGGTGAACCACACATATCTTGAATCTTAGGAATGATGAGATTTTTGCAAGGTAACTGTAGAGATTTAAATTACTTCTTTTATGACAGTAAAGTCCTAAATGCAGGACTGTGCTGGTAAGTGATTTGCTAAATGGCTGCACTGTATCTCAAAGTATGTAATGAAGATAAGTGCTGTTAGTGCGTGATCACCACTAGGCTTCTGTAAGATACTTGGAAAAAGAAACTTTTTCTAAACCTGTTTGAATCCAAAATCCACTTGGACTGATTTTTTCTTTTTGGAAGAATCTAACCTGTCTTCCCTGCCATGTCACTAAGTTTTCCCAGATGACACTTGTTACTCAAGATGTCTTTGCTTGGCAATTAAGAAGATCCTTTGGCATGTTTTTTGTACTTGCTAAGGTGAAAGGGCTCCCTCAAATGCCAGAACTTTGTGATGTGTCATTGACTGCCATTATGAGGCAGCTCCAGACTATGGGCTGCTGCTCCATGTCATTTATTGCCATGTTTTGCACAGCAGTGCACCTGCCTAGCACAATGTGGGCAGCAAAAAGAACCATAAACTGTGTTTTTCCTCTTGGGGGCACTCTCTTTCAAAGTTCAGGACTGGAGCGGTATAATTTCTAGGCTGTTGCTTAAGAAACCCCATGAAACCTATAGTGATCATGAACTGAAAATTTTACAGATCACTATTCCCCCTTTGCTAACTTTACTATCTGTTAAATGAAACAAAAAGGGAAGTTTGGAAGAAAAATTACTTCTTCCCAACTCAGATTCCCTCCAGCATGTTTGCACCAAGATCTTAGTAACACGTACAAGTCTTCGCTCGTCCTCTTAGGGCTACAGAGTGGGAATCAGCTAACAGTTGAGTAGAGCTGGCAGAGCTAATAGAGAGCAAGTCATATAACCTACTTCCAGTAGGTCTGCTGGCAGACTGAGCAGAGCTGAGATAAAGATTCTGTATGGTGTGGAGATCAGGAGAGTGTACATTATTGTCACACCGTAAAGCCAAAATCTCCACATAGTATTTCAGGTTCTGGCCCACCCCTCAGACTACCTCCTCCCCCAGCAAGGTTCAGGTCCAGGAGCCAGCAGGTAAGTTGACATATCCTTGTTTTCGGGAGGTGTTACTCTCTTAATAAATTTTCATGTCTCTGGGTTACACCTTTGATATAGGTCACCTTGACATCAAATGTTTGTAACTAATGTCTTGTTATCACATTATTAATAAAAAGCATGTACACCACTGAGAAGACATCTTTATAGTGTTGTGGGATTCATTTTTTTTTTTTTAATGTGTCTCCTTATTGGTCTCCAACACTAGTGAACACCCAGTTCAGAAGCCTGCCAGGTTTGCTTATAGGAATGCCAGCCTTCCAGCACACTAAGTGTACTTTATTAGTCTGGTTTAAGTGAGAGTTCTTCTTGCATTAGTATCACCAAAGCACAGTTTATTGCTTGATTTAATGCTCCTTCCTGCACTGCTAGTCACTACTCTCTTATCCTGGCCATAGTTGATAGCCAGTTTGATCTCAGCTTCCAGTGCTGTTCCTATTACATAGGAATTTATTAGGCAAAAACCAACCCTCTAAATGAACAAGAAAATCAAAACCTACTGCTGGTTATTGAGAAGAGCCGAAAGAATTGTTAATTGTATCTAGACTTCTTTTTCCTGATTAGAGTTCAAACCCAAGCAAAAAACATAACAAGGTGAACTTTATTCCTGCCTAAGGAGGCAGGGGGATAAGAAACAAGCCCTGAAGATGTGAAGAGCCCAGTGTATTAGCTCATTACGCCCCTCAGCAGGTCTGCAAAGCAGGGAACCACCACTTCTATGCCACTATTAGTAATGCTGAAGGAGGATGTGCTGCTCAGTAAGTTTTATTGAAAAACAGTACTCGGTTGATCCTGAAATCTACTCAGTCCTTCCTAGCCCCAGTTTTCAGACTATAATTTTTCAATCCATTGCTGCTTCCCTCTGTGTTTGCATGATGTCCATAGCGTATCAGCGTGTCACCTGAAAACTGTGCTCTTAGCTGCAGATTGCAAGGCTTTCTCACCTCAGCAGCTCAGATTATTTCATTAGCTTGCCATGTCCTTCTCCCCATTACTGCATTATGGAGCAAAGTATGATGGACAACTGAAGGCAGTTTTATTGAAAAAAATTCAACAGAGCACTAAAAAATGAGATAGATTGTATTTTTTTCATTGTTGAGGCACATTAGTACCAGAGGACACATTCACACCATTTCCACAAATCCCAAAGCTGTTGTGTTGGGTTTTTTTGGTTGGTTTTTTTTTTTTTTTTACAAACTTAAGGTTGTGTCACTCTGCTCTCACTGCTGATGTTGTTTCCTTTAGTATTTAGTGATCCTAATTTGTAAGCAGCAGTTTCTGTCACTACAGATTGTGCTGAGCATAGTTTGCAATTTGTCCCAATTACTTCATTATTGTCTTAAGTGAGCGAGCCATTCCTGGGAAGTAAAAGTAATGAAAGTCCTCTCATCTCTTGGGCCCTCAAGAAAATGTAAAGCAACGTCTCCCTCTACTTCTGCCCACCCCTGGAGCCCTGCTCTTGTGCGTGCTAAAAACTGTTCTGACATAACAAATTAGCTTTTTTTTTTGAGGAGAAGGTGGGGAACAGATGTGGTAACTCTGCGCTTACACCAATGTTATTTTTCCCCCAACTGTTAACCTGGTATCACTTGGGAAGCTCTATAGTTGCATCTCTACTGAAGAAGATGACAAAGCAACCTGACATCATGCAGGTCTGATGTTCCAGATGGTTTTAAAAGGTCTTCAGCTCTCCTGAAAAGGTGTTTTGTGTTATTTCCTGTGAGTCCACAATTGAAGCGTTTAAGAAAAATGTGTTTATGCAGCAAGTTGTTTAATGAGCTTTTAGAAATTTTCTTTATGAAGAAAGTACTTGTAAGTCTTTACCAGTAGTAGACATTAAATTCTATGTGGTCATACCTGCTATTTTTGCTTCCAGGTACTACTGCTCCCTTGCGTACTGCTCTTGGTTAAATTTTGGGGACTTGCCTGGATATTCGGCTCAGGAAATTAGGAGATAAATAAAACCCTATTCCCTCAGGTTGGATTTCAAAACCAAACCAAACCAAACGCCCTGCACTAGAAGAGACAGAGAGGGACTGGTATGTGTGTGTATGCAGGAGAGGAAAGAAGTCTCGGGCCCTGGAGTGAGGAGAGAAGTGAGGGTGGTAAGCAGGGCTGGTACTTTTGGCAGAGGATGTGGAAGCGATTGAAACTCCAGAGATAGAAGGGTTTGATAAAATGGTGCTGCCCATCTTGGTCTTGTACCCGAGATCAGCACTTTGGCTTCAGAAAGTGAATGGTGCCTGTCCTCTGCCTCCGGGCCTTGCAACCAACCCCCTGATTCCCAAAAGCGTTGAAAAGCGCCACGCACCTCTGTCATCCTCCCTGTCCCAGCCAGCAGCTCTTGGTGGTCACTTGAGGCACAAGTGACTCTCCCCAGCCCTCTTCTGGGCTCCCGCCTCCGTTCGTATTCCACAGAGACTCCTCTGCATCCCATTGGATTTTGCCTGTAACACTGAGGTAGCTCTGGTTATACACAACTGTTAATAAACCACTTAGTCTCGAATAACCCACTAAAACCGCTGGGGTGCTGGGAAGAAAAAGTTAATATAACAAAAGCAGTCATCTGAAATTGTCCAACAGAGCGCAATTTAGGAGCGTATTAGTAGATTAATTAAATAATTAAAGCTCAAACAGATGATGCTATACACTTCATTTTTGTTTTATCTGAGAGACCATTAGAACTGACTTACTCCTTCTCCTAAGATGGTTAGTGGGCTTGGTTTTTTTGCAGAACTACTTCTTAAAAGAAAATGCAGTAGCACTGTTGATGAGAAAATCTTACGGATTTTGTGTCATACACTGGAAGTGGTATTGCTGCAATGAAAAATACCAGTTTTCAATTAATAAACTGCAACTCTGTGGAAACTTTCTTGGGACAAAGAGAAACAAAATATATCCAGAGCAGAAATGGCTTAAGAATTATGTAAAAACAAACGAGGAAAATGCTTCAAAGTTCCTGTTGTTTACCATCAACAGGAGAAACGTGCTGCTACAGTCAAAGGAGTTGAAAGCTGAGGGACTAATTTTTGACTCCAGCATATAAGAAATAGTTAAGATGAAAGCTTGCAGTGCAAGAGATGGATCTAGCAATTTTATTTTTAAGGAGTTTTTTACAGTATAGGAAATATTCATGTTCTGCTTCCTGATGGTGAAAATGACTGCATTTAAGCAGGCTGGAGAATACAGAGATGCCTTGTCATGCAGGATGATGTTTCCTCTGGACTCTCAGTCTTATATCAGCCTGGCCATTTTAGAGCCATTGACTTTGCTGCTGTAGTTCTCAATTGTTTTTACACAAGACAGCAAATGATTGAACAGCAGCTGAAAATAGCCGTGTAGCTCATTAGCTGTGGGGTAGACTGTGCCTTTTTGGCACTGCTCTTTCAGGGAGGTAGGGCGCCAGGATGTTAAGGGAGCTGGTGCTGACTGCTCCAGCAAGCCTGCTGGTAGGTATTTTGTCTGCTTAGTTTCCAGAGCTCCTTTATTAGATGGAAGCACAATAGGAAATTGCTCCCACACTTTCAAAATACAGAACAGACTACCATGCTCTGTTTGCCCAACTAGCCAGCATGGCTGAGGGGATGGGAGAAAGGAAGAAAACAACTTTTTTGTGTTTTTTCAGCTTCTCTAGTGGAGCAAGACCATAATTCAAAAGAATGATTTCTCCAGGAAAGCAGAATTTCCCTGGAGTCAAGGCTTTACCAGGATCAAGGAAAAAAACAGCAAGAGGCTGTTTTATGCCTTCCACTCCCTC